TCTAAAAACTTATATTTTCAAAAAAAATCATAACTTGTTTTTAATCATAAAATATACTATCAATAGTTTTTACAGCTCTAATAAAACATTTTGAAACGCTTAGTGATAGAATTATCATCATTAATTTTAAAATTAGTGCTAATATAAAAAGTTCAAATTTGAAGTTGAATAATTCATTAATATATTCTTAATAGTGAACTATACATAAAATATTGACCTTTATTAGAAGTATTACATAAAGAAGTGATTTAATAAAAAATTTTAATCATTAATAATACTTTTGTATAAAATAGAATAAACAATACAAAAAAACTTACTATAATCTAAATATCTAAAAAATAAGCCAAAATTTAAAATTAGTAAAAACTAATAAAAATAATTTAAATTTCAAAAACAAACGAATCCAAATAAATAAAAGTATAAATTCGGAAAAGCGTAAAATTAAATGTACAAATTTAGGAAAAAGCTAAAACTATAAATACAGTTTTAACCCAATAAGTTTAATATAAAAATACTAAAATGAGTAATCGGAAAATCACAGAGATCGGAGAAAAATCTCAAATTTTAGTAATCTGCACTTAGTCTACCTTACAAATTCTTAGAATTAAAGTATAGAAATAAGTTCTCAATGTATAAGAGAGATAATTCAAAACGAAAGAAAATATAATTAAAAAAACAAAATATTTTTATTAATCATCATATCTTCAATAAAACAAATTATTATGAATTTTATGATTATATTTTTAAACTATAAATAATTTAGAAATTAGCGTTTTAAAATAAATTTAATCTAATAAATAATCCAAAAATAACTAAATTATACTATACTAAATTATTACGCTATAAAAATATTATCTAATTATTAAACATCGATTATTTTAATATTTCTGCGAATCATTTATGCGAATCATTTCTGCGAATCATTTTTTATAATGTTTCAGCCTTTCTGTCTATTTTAAATCACTAATTCGAAGGGGGATTTATATTCCCCCTTCCTTCATATGCTGTTATTTACCAAAACATGCATTTTTTTAATTTTTATCATCATAAAAAGGGTTTTTTCAAATAATAACGAAATTTTAGGTATTCTTTTTTTTTTTTTTGATTTAATTCCAATTATTAGATCTTGTTCAAACATTTTCTCCTCTACATGATGAGGATCCATTACTTTCATATGAAGTTACTAATGAAGAATATCATCATCAATTAAACAAAAGGTTGCATAATTTAGAACTTAAAGAACTAAAAAATAGTAAAGAATATTTATATTACCTTGCTACTTTTTTAACTTTCAGCGATTTTAATAACAATTGCACAGCAAAACTAAAAGAAGTCTGCAATGATGATATAGAAATGCTGAATAGTGATATTCATCATATTTGTAATGAGCCTCAATTAGTATGTACTTCTTTAAATACTCAAATATCTAATGCGATAAAAAAAACTAAAGATGATTTGAATAAAGAAACAAATTATCATCACTGTAGCAGGCTGCAAACTGAATGTTTTTTCTTAGAACAATATGGTTCAGGAGATCTTTCTGCAAATTGCAATAAACTAAAAGAAAATTGTTATAATAAGGCCCGTATGGAAGTAGCGGAAGGAATTATGCATAGATTTTTAAAAGGGACACATGATAAGACTTGTTTAGAAAAACTCAAAGAAAAATGTCTATTATTTAGTCATCAAAGCCCAGAGTTATTTAGTTTATGTATTAGTGGTTCCAATGTTTGTAAAAAATTTATTTCAGAAACTAAAACAAACTGTCAAAATTTTCAAACTCAGTTTTTATCAAAACATAAAGAAATAACACGAGAAAACTGCATAGTTTGGTTAAAAAAATGCTATTATAACGTTTTGAATTGTCAAAATATTTATCATATGTGCCGTTTATTTCAAACAAGTTGTGCAGAAAAAGGTTTTTTTTCTAATTTTGACAGTAATTATAATCTTAATCTTCTTGAAAGCCCGTTTATCGATGTTGATGAAGATACAATTCAATACAGCCATAAAAAGTTAAGTCAATTAGGTATTTATGTTGATAAAATGCCATCACTTCCGAATGAAGTAATTGCTAGCATTTTAATTCAAGATGTTTCTAAACAAATCTCTAAATGTAAAAAAGAATTGAATGAAAAATGTCCTTTAGTGGAATATTTAGATGTTTTTAAAGATATATGCAGTAAAACTAAGAATAAAGATAATATTTGTAAAGGCATATATGATAAAACTAAGCAGCATCTTGAACCTTATTCAAAGGAATTCAGTGGTAATAATTTGTCGATTTCACAAAAATCTTTTTCAAAAGAAAAGTGTATAGAATATTTACCATTATGTTATTTTTTTAATGAATATTTTGGTGTCTGGGTCCAAAGTGATTTATGTAAAACAATACGACTTGCCTGTTATCAAGCAGATTTGGAAATGGAAGCTGATATGATTTTAATAAGGAAATTAAA